GACAGTATTAGGACTGGTTAGACGCGCACCTCTACTCTTTCCTACCCTCGACTAATCTCTGCATTTCCTTAAAATTGGAACAACCCCCATCCTTAATTATTTGTTAACAGTAAACTAATCTAGGTCTCCCTCCACTCCTCTTAACTCCTGTTTCTGCCTCTAATACGTCTCTGACCAGACCTTCATGCCTGAGAAGTGCCTACCAACCTATCTCGCCTATTTCTTATTGACTCCCTGCTCCTGTTCTCTTACACTTTCTTCTTTGTAACAATACATTTCCAACGCTTCTACAGGTCTGACGAAGGAAGCTGGCGAGCGGTCGCGCAGGTCCTTGGCAATTTATGACCTATTTGGGTAAGTCACTTGGAACCGATACACAAATAAGCTTTCAGTAGGCGTAAATTAGAGTATTAATACAGATAGGACAGTAGCGTACTAGAAAATAATGTAAAAACATGACTTATCAAAAAGAAAAAATTAACCTATTGCTTTTGTTTTATAGTTAGTTTTCACATTCACTGTCATCATGGGAATCTCTATCACTGTCACCAACATCAACAATTAGTTCTTCTGTTTGTCTGTCTATTACTTGCTCACTGATCCCTATTTTTAAATATTTAATCTACGCCCCTGATAGGAATACTGAAGAATGAGGGCTGCAATCTTTATACCTAAAACTGCCTACTTTTGTCACCGCGCATCCACGCCATTTTAAAATTTCCGCCAACTTCCAGCGTCAGGCCTGTAACTTTTTCTTATCTGCCGCGTCTATCATCCACGTTTAGCACCCGTACAGAGCCATGCTCCAGACGTACACCTTTAACAATTTTTTTCAAGTTTCTTAATCAACCATTCGCCAGTATAGAAGTGATTTCGTTTTATTAAATGCTACTTGATCCTGTGTTGTCCTCTGTCTTTTATCCCTAATGCTCCTGCTATCCTGGAATATCTTACTTGTTAGATACCGAAAAGCAACCAATCTTCGGATTATTCGTCTCCTACCTTTATCTTCACTCGATCAATTTCAAAGAGATGTAATTATTCACGTCAAGTTAATTATTTATTAGCTTACGAGATGTAAAGTACCTTATACTAGTTGTATTTTATAGTACCTACTCCGGAGGATAATTTAAATCAATTGACTCTAGTAAAATTAGACGTGCGCTTTGGATAATAACTGTGTGGAGAATTAAATATTGGAAGCATTTCTTTCTGGCATAGTTCAACTTTATTTTTTAAATCATCTACTGCGTTAAACTTTAGGAGTCTTGGAAGGGGGTAGTTTCCGGTTATCGAACGTTTATTAATAGTTTACTATTACGACTGTCGGCACATTAACATGCACATTACGACGTTGTATGGCGGTTTTGTAATTATGGTTTTACCTGCGAGAAATCTCTGTATGTTGTTACCGTCAACATTTCGGAAAGAGAAACGGGACGAGGACAAGAAGATGTGACAGAGATAGAGATAGAGAGTGAGCAGAAGGAGGACGGGGGGATGAAAGGCATTCGAATACAACCGTGAAAGCTGCGGACCAACTGAAGTGTAAAGGGAAGATAAAGAGGGAATCGCGGCGATGAAAAGTTGCCAGATAATTCAATAACAAAGACGAAATTACTGTAGAAATTCTTCGAGCACGTCACTGCATTATAACGGCAACTTGGGTTATTTTGTGTACCGCTGCTGTTGCTGTTGTCGTCAACTCATTGCGAGTCCAGTAAAACGTGAAATTTTCATACCGTTCGTTTACCTGACAACGAAAGTTTGAAAGAAGTTTGAACATTGAGCCGCTCCGCATCGAGACTTCGACCTCTCGTACGGGACTTTGGGGACACAACCAAGTATACAGTAGGTACGGGGATGATTATGAGTATACGGTTTATATATATGTATGTCCTTTTACGGAGCAGGAGGATTCGAAGGACGGGATTGATGGATTCGGAGAGAGGAGACATGCGAAAAAAGGAAATCAAGTTTGAAAAGTTTCGCCTGTTAAGAACTTTGTAGTCATTGTATCCAAAATTGGGTTTTGCTACACTCACAACGGTCCTGTTGTTGACTTTTTTAATAATTCCATTGACTCCGAAAGAGTAATGATGAGTAAAGCAAAACCCACTGTCCCAGTCTTTCTATTTCTTAGTCTTGCTGAAATACTTCTAGTGTTAATCTTGACCTTGCCGATACTGGAATTTTCTGTCATACATGTTTTTAAATATTGCAATTTTTTTGTCATATGTTTTATTATTTCTCAAAGTTCTACAACATGATGATTAAAAAGTTATCTATTTGTCTTATATGATAAAGGTCATATAACTTGTTGGCGCATGTGTGTGGTTTGTTGTAAACGAATACATTGATAGAACGTTAAATTTCTTTGTTAGAAATAATCACAATTCTTTAATTATCAAATTACTTCGTCATGTAAAGTTCATTTCTTAATAATTTTTTGTTAGCTTTTGCAATGAGAGGTAAATTTTAAACAAGAAATCAATATTTATTTATATTTAATATTTAAATAATGGTTTATTTGATAAATTGGTCCATCTATCTATCTCTTTTTTGTGTAATGCTCGCTCTTTGTCAGCTCCTGTGGACTTTTCCATTTCACGGTCACACGTCACTCAGTTGCTTAGTAAGCTGTGAGGAAAACAGTACGCCAAAGATTACGGGAAAAATGTATACGTTTTCTATTAAACGATTTTTTTCCGGAATGATTTCTAAAACGTTGTATGTGTATGTGGTGGAATCAATTTTGAAAAAGGTGCATCATTGTAATGTGATAGGTGTTGTTTTTCTGCAATTTTATTTGGTAAGTTTTCTTTACGTATTGACGAGTTTTCTTACTTTCTACTTGCCTGTGTATTTTATTTGAAAGGCCTTTTCATTTAATAAAGTAACATAGACTAGAGGTTTTGGGCATTAACAGAAAACTTAATGGTTTTACGTAATTCTAAGAAAATTGCTGTTATTAGCCTTTTTAGTTGTCCTAAACAAAATCTGCTCTACAAATTTCTTTTAAATATTGATACTCGTACTGTGTTAAAATGTTATCGTTGTAATATTTACACTTTTCATAAAAAAAGTAATTTTTGTTTAAACGCTCACTGCCATTTGAAGCATTAGAACGAGTATATATAGCCAGGCCAGAGAAGACGTAGGCAAGTAGTAATACGGTAACTATCTGGCTTTAGTACTGCCGCTGCACATGGAGGGCGCCTTAAGTGTTGCAATTGGGCAGGAATGAGTCAGGTACTTACTGGCGGTCGGCCCTTATTACTCACCTACGTTCAATACTTCATCCTTCCCTCTCAGTTGTACGCCGAATTCCTTGACTTTAAGTACTCCGATATACTTCGGTATATCGCGGTGGTTGAAGTCCGGGGATCTCGGCATATACCTGGGTCGGTGGGATGGAGGCTTGGGCGTGGGTTTTGCTATTTTTTTTAAAAAACTTTTTTATGTTTCCATTTAGAACGTTTTACTTTTAGCACAGTTTATTTATTGTTTTTTATATATTAAATAGTATTTAGTGTCTTTAGTATAATTATTAATAAAAATAATTAAAAAACACTATTTAAACAATTAACCAAAATTTTATGCCAACAACAAATTAAACAACAAAACAAACAGATGGTAAAAATAAAACACAACAGCCAAAACACACAAAGAAATAACAACAACAATAATAATAACAATAGCAATAACAATAGCAAAGACAATAATAACAATTTATAACAGGAAAAGAGAACTTACTAAAGAGACGGTTGAACGTAGAGACGCAGATGAATTGGATGAATTAATTTCTGATAGGGATGTTAGGAGTATTTATAGTAGGAAAATGTTAGTAAAAAGAGATAGAATACTCAAGATAGACAAAGACTGGCAATAGGGGTTGAAGACACGAGCTTACAGAAATACGAAGAATTGAAGAGGTTCAACAGTATAGAATTTTAAGTAAGGTAATTAAGGGAAAGGCCAGCTATTAGTAAAAGGTGCATGCAGAAACGGTTGCAGTTAGATTTCTAGGTAAAGGTGATTAGGTACAATAGAATAGAAATAGAAAGGAAATAAAGGCATGCAAAAGATGAGAAGTCGTACTATACATTGAAGAAATATTATGCATTATAACAGAAATAAAATTAGGAAAAATATATGTACAAAATATTTACACAAAAAAAAAACAATAAAAGTTCTTTCGCCACAAGTATTTAAGGCTAGCTAGATCCATACAAAATTATTTGTTTTTAAAAATTGTTTGCAAATTATTTCTTGTATTATAATTACAGTCTTTAAATGTTTCCATTTCATTTAAAAATGCTGTTTGCTGTTTATGTTATGAATTTCTTTTGGAATTTTGAAACGATTTGAAGCAAGAGCATTAGCTACAGTAATATAAAATCCTGTTTTTTTTGTTTTTGTTTGTAAAATATTTGTTTTATAAGACTTTGTAGAGTAAGTAATTTACTCATTTGGGCTGTATATAGAAAGTTTTTTAATGTCTTAGAAATTAGCAAATATCATCTTTGGCCAAAAATGTAAGATATTGAATTGTGTCTCAGATATACTAATACTACAGGGGATGTGTGCTTTGTGCTTTATGAGGACCAATTTGAAAAACTAGTGAAATAAATCTAACATCCCCTGTTGGGAAATTGTACTATTCCGGATATAGCAATAAGTATTTTTTATTTTAATCGGTTCATTTACCAGGCTATGTACTATTCGGAAAATAAGAATGTTTTTTCTTAGTTCGACAGTTTCTATATAGTTTTCTGCTATTCGTACTTCATTGATTATTTTAAAAATATTGATTAGGTTTTAACGAGATAATGATCAAAAATGTTAGCTATTAATCTATTGACAATCGCTATTACAAGGAACAACAGGGCCGTACAGGCCAGTCAGGATGTTGTTAATACACCTAAGCATTTTAATGATTTTTTTGTGCCACGTTTATTAACTTTGATAATTAATAGGTATTTTCTATTTTGTTTCAGTTGCTGTTGGTTTTTCCTGATAAAGATTTTTGGGACGGTCATATTTCGGGAAATGGAACGTATTGATTGGGGCCACGTCGGTAAGTTTTCTGATATATAAATTAAGATCAATGAATTAATTTGTCAACGGATCTAAAGATTAGTTATAGGGTTCGCACTACTAACCCTCCAATTTTAAGTTGTTACTTTTCAGGGGAAGTTGTTTAGATCCCACAATATTTTTACATTATATCCTTAAGGGCGTTTAAAACCACATTAGAACTATGAACCAATAATAAATTAGTACTTTTTAGTGAAAGTTGTTCCTGTAACACAATTATTTTTTGTATTTATGATCTAAGAGTCATTTTGATTAATATCTGAACGGCAAAATAATATATCAGCGGGTCTAAAGTTTACTTATAGGGTGCGAAACCCTCCAATGCTAAATTATTACTTTTTAAGGGAGGTTGTTCTTGTACCACTATTTTCTTTTTGTATTTATGCTTTGAGGGTCATTTAAATTAATATTAGAATGGTATAACAATCTGTCAGAGGGTCTAACGTTTAGTTACAGGGTGTCAAACCCTCCAATGTTACGGTTGTCGTTATAGCACTATTATTTTTTTGTATTTATGCTCTAAGGGTCATTTGAATTAATATTAGAACTGTAGGATGATAAGGCAATGGGTCTAAAGGTTAGTAATAGGGTACGAAACCCTCCAATATTAAACTATTACTTTTTAGGGGAAATTCTTGTCACACAATTATTTGTTGTATTAATGCTGTAAGGGTCAATTTAATGAAGATTATAACGGTAAAATAATATATCAGAGGGTCTAAAGTTTAGTAATAGGGTGCGAGACCCTCTAATAATAAATTTGATTAGCTTTGATAATTAATGCGTATTATAATTTTGCTTCAGTTGCTTTTGGCTTTTCCTGACAATGGCTAATTGGGACGATCATATTTCAAGAAGTAGAATGCACTGATTCGGACCACGAAGGTAGGTCTTTTGATATATTACTATTTTGAATTTTATTTAGAGTAGGCAACATAAAAACAGTATTCAAGCACAAAAACAACCCTTGGATGACATTCCGTTTATTAATATACTCGATACGTATTTGGCCTTTTTAGGGCGCCTTTAGGAATTTTATTGTATTAATAGTTATATAACTAAACCTTTTATAATAGGGTTAAGTAACAATTTTTGTTTCTAAGCTCTAAAAGTCATTTAAATTAAGAGAAATAATTTGTCAGCGAATCTAGAACTTAGTTGTAGGGTGCGAAGCCCTCCAATGTTAAATTATTAATTTTCAGGGGACGTTGTTCCTGTAGCACTATTTTCTTTTTGTATTTATGCTCTGACGGTCATTTGAATTAACATTAGAATAATAAGATAATCTGTCAAAGGATGTAACGTTTAGTTATAGGGTGCGAAGCCATTCAATGTTAAATTTTTACTTTTTAGGGGAGGTAGCACTATTTTCTTTTTTAATTAATGCTCTGAGGGTCGTTTGAATTTATATTACAATAGGAAGATGATATGTTAGAGGGTGTAACGTTTAGTTATAGGGTGCGAAGCCCCCCATTGTTAAATTATTGCTTTTCAGGGGATGTTGTTCTTGTAACACTATTTTTGTTTTGTATTTATGCTCTGAGGGTCATTTAAATTAATATTAGAATGGTGTAACAATCTGTAAGAGGGTCTAATGTTTAGTTACAGGGTGTCAAACCTTCCAATGTTAAATTGTTACTTTTCAGGGAAGGTTGTCGTTATACCACTATTATTTTTTGTATTTACGCTCTGAGGGTCATTTGAATTAATATTAGAACGGTAGGATGATCAGTCAAGGGTCTAGAGGTTACTTATAATTTACGAAACCCTCCAACACTTGATTATCACATTTCAGGGGAAGTTGTACTTGTCGCATTGCTATGTTTTGTTTTTATGCTCTAAGGATAATTTAAATTAATATTAGAACGGTTTAATAACATATCGGCTGGTCTAAAGTTTAGTTAAAGGGTGCGAGACCCTCTAATAATAAATTTTATTGGCTTTGATAATTAATACGTATTTTATTTTTGCTTCAGCTGCTTTTGGTTTCTCCTGGCGATGGCTAATTGGGACGATCATATTTCAAGAAGTAGAATGCACTGATTCGGACCACGAAGGTAGGTCTTTTGATATATTACTATTTTGAATTTTATTTAGAGTAGGCAACATAAAAACAGTATTCAAGCACAAAAACAACCCTTGGATGACATTCCGTTTATTAATATACTCGATACGTATTTGGCCTTTTTAGGGCGCCTTTAGGAATTTTATTGTATTAATAGTTATATAACTAAACCTTTTATAATAGGGTTAAGTAACAATTTTTGTTTCTAAGCTCTAAAAGTCATTTAAATTAAGAGAAATAATTTGTCAGCGAATCTAGAACTTAGTTGTAGGGTGCGAAGCCCTCCAATGTTAAATTATTAATTTTCAGGGGACGTTGTTCCTGTAGCACTATTTTCTTTTTGTATTTATGCTCTGACGGTCATTTGAATTAACATTAGAATAATAAGATAATCTGTCAAAGGATGTAACGTTTAGTNTGGTAAGATAATCTGTCAGAGGGTGTAACGTTTCGTTATAGGGTGCGAAGCAATCAAATGTTAAATTAAATTATTATCTTTCATTGGAGGTTGTTCTTGTAGCACTATTTGCTTTTTGTATTTATGCTCTAAGGGTCATTTATATTAATATTAGAATGGTATAATAATCTGTCGGGGGGCCTAACGTTTAGTTATATGGTGCAAAACCCTCTAATGTTAGATTATTACTTTTTAGGGGAAGTTGTTTATGTCAAACAAATATTTGCTGTAGTAATGCTGTAAGGGTCATTTTAATGAAGATTAGAACAGTAAAATAATATATCAGCGGGTCTAAAGTTTAGTTATAGGGTGCGATACCCTCCAATGCTAAATTATTACTTTTCACGGGAAGTTGTACTTGTTGCAATATTATTTTTTGTTTTTATGTTCTAAGGATAATTTATATTAATATTAGAACTGTATCGGCTGGGCTAAGGATTAGTTATAGGGTGCGAGACCCTCTAATAATAAATTTTATTGGCTTTCATAATTAATACGTATTTTAATTTTCTTTCAGCTGCTTTTGGTTTTTCCTAACAATGGCTAATTAAGACGATCATATTTCAAGAAATAATAGACCGATTGGGGCCATGAAGGTATGTTTTTTTTACTATTTTGAATTTTATTTACATTAGGCTACATAAAAACAGTATTCCAGCACAAGGATAACCCTTGAAAGACTGTTTATTAATATACTTGAGAAGTATAACGCCTCTTTAGGGCATCTTCAGGAATTTTAACATAAACCCTTTGTATTAATAGTTTATATAACTAAACTTTTTACAATAGAGTTTATTAACAATTTTTGTTTCTAAGCTCTAAAACCCATTTAAATATAAAGAAACAATTTGTCAGCGAATCTAAAGCTTAGTTATAGGGTACGAAACCCTCCAATGTTAAATTATTACTTTTCAGGGCAGGTTGTTCTTGTAGCACTATTTTCGCCTAGTATTTATGCTCTGAGGGTCTTTGAATTAATATTAGAGTGGTGAGATGATCTCTTAGAGGGTCTAAGATTTGGTTATAGGATGCGAAGCCCTTCAATGATAAATTATTATTTTTCAGGACAGGTTGTTCTTGTAGCGCTATTATTTTTTTTATTTATGCTCTGAAGATAATTTGAATTAATATTAGAATGGTAAGATGATCTGTCAACGGGTACAACGTTCAGTTGTAGGGTGTGAAGCCCTCCAATTTTAAATTATTACTATTCAGTGGAAGTTGTTCCTACAGGACCATTATTTTTTGTATTTATGGTGTAAGAGTCATTTAGATTAAGATCAGAATGGTAGGGTGATCAGACAATGTGTCTAGATGTTTGTTGTAGGGTGCGAAACCCTCCAATATTAAATTGTTACTTTTCAGGGGAAGTTGTTTTTGTTACATAATTATTTGTTGTATTAATGCTGTAAGGGTCAGTTGAATGAAGATTAGAACGTTAGAAGAGTATATCAGAAGGTCCAAAGTTTAGTTATAGGGTGCGAAACTCTCCAGTGTTAAATTATTACTTTTCAGGGGATGTTGTTCCTATAAGACTACCATTTTTTGTATTTGTGCTCTAAGAGTCATTTGAATTAAGATTAGAATGGTAGGGTGGTCAATCAAGGGGTCTAGAGGTTTGTTATAGGGTGTGAAACCCTCCATTATTAAATTATTTCTTTTCAGGGGAAATTGGTTTTGTTACGTAATTATTTGTTGTAGTAATTCTGTAAGGGTCAGTTGAATGAAAGATTAGAATGGTAGGGTGTCAATCAAGGGGTCTAGAGGTTTGTTATAGGGTGTGAAACCCTCCAATATTAAATTATTTCTTTTCAGGGGAAATTGGTTTTGTTACATAACTATTAGTTGTAGTAATTCTGTAAGGGTCAGTTGAATGAAGATTAGAATGTTAAAATTACATATCATCAGGTATAATGTTTAGTTATAGGGTGCCAAACCCTCCAATGTTAAATTATTACTTTTCAGGGGAAGTTGTCCCTATAGGATTATTAGTTTTTGTATTTATGCCCAAAGAGTCATTTGGATTAAGATTAGAATGGTAGGGTGGTCTATCAAGGGGTCTAGAGGTTTGTTATAGGGTGTGAAACCCTCCAATATTAAATTATTTCTTTTCAGGGGAAGTAGTTTTTGTTACATAATTATTTGTTGTAGTAATTCTGTAAGGGTCAGTTGAATGAAGATTAGAATATTAAAATTACATATCATCGGGTATAATGTTTAGTTATAGGGTGCCAAACCCTCCAATGTTAAATTATTACTTTTGAGGGGAAGTTGTCCCTATAGGACTATTAGTTTTTGTATTTATGCTCTAAGAGTCATTTGGATTAAGATTAGAATGGTAGGGTGGTCAATCAAGGGGTCTAGAGGTTTGTTATAGGGTGTGAAACCCTCCAATGTTAAATTATTACTTTTCAGGGGAAGTTGTCCCTATAGGACTATTAGTTTTTATATTTATGCTCTAAGAGTCATTTGGATTAAGATTAGAATGGTAGGGTGGTCAATCAAGGGGTCTAGAGGTTTGTTATAGGGTGTGAAACCCTCCAATGTTAAATTATTACTTTTCAGGGGAAGTTGTCCCTATAGGACTATTAGTTTTTATATTTATGCTCTAAGAGTCATTTGGATTAAGATTAGAATGGTAGGGTGTCAATCAAGGGCTCTAGAGGTTTGTTATAGGGTGTGAAACCCTCCAATATTAAATTATTTCTTTTCAGGGGAAGTTGTCCCTATAGGACTATTATTTTTTGTATTTATGCTCTGAGGGTCATTTGGATTAATGTTAGAATGGTGGGGTAATCAATTGATGTGTCTAACGGTTCGTTATAGGGTGCGAATCCCTTTAATATTAAATTGTTATTTTTCAGGGGAAGTTGTTTTTGTCATATAATTATTTGTTGTATTAATTCTAACGGTCAGTGGAATGAAGATTAGAACGTTTAAATAATATATCAGCGGGTCTAAACTTTAGTTATAGGGTGCGAAACCCTCCAATGTTAAATTAATACTTTTCAGGGGAAGTTGTTTCTATACGACTATTATTTTTTGTATTTATGCTCTATGAGTCATTTGGATTAAGATTAGCATGGTAGGGTGGTCAATCAAGGGGTCTGAAGTTTAGTGATAGGGTGCGAAACCCTCCAATATTAAATTGTTACTTTTCAGGGGAGGTTGTTTTTGTAACACAATTATTTATTGAATTAATTCTGTAAGGATCATTGGAATGAAGATTAGAACGTTAAAATAATATATCAGCGAATCTAAAGTTTAGTTATAGGGTGGGGAACCCTCCAATGTTAAATTATTACTTTTCAGGGGATGTTGTTCCTATACGAATATTATTTTTAGTATTTATGCTCTTAGTCCTTTGTATTAAGATTAGAATGGTAGGGTGGTCAATCAAGAGGTCTAGAGGATTGTTATAGGGTGCGAAACCCTCTAATATTAAATTGTTACTTTTCAGGGGAAGTTGTTTTTGTAACACAATTATTTATTGTATTAATGCTGTAAGGATCATTGGAATGAAGATTAGAACGTTAAAATAATATATCAGCGAGTCTAAAGTGTAGTTATAGGGTGAGAAACCCTCTAATGTTAAATTATTACTTTTCAGGAGAAGTTGTTGCTATAAGACTCCCATTTTTTGTGTTTATGCTCTAAGAGTCATTTGGATTAAGATTAGAGTGGTAGGGTGGTCAATCAAGGGGTCTAAAATTTAGTTATAGGGTGCCAAACCGTCCAATGTTAAATTATTACTTTTCAGGGGAAGTTGTCCCTATACGACTACTATTTTTTGTATTTATGCTCTAAGAGTCATTTGGATTAAGATTAGAATGGTAGGGTGGTCAATCAAGGGGTCTAGAGGTTTGTTATAGGGTGTGAAACCCTTCAATATTAAATTATTTCTTTTCAGGGGAAGTAGTTTTTGTTACATAATTATTTGTTGTAGTAATTCTGTAAGGGTCAGTTGAATGAAGATTAGAATGTTAAAATTACATATCATCAGGTATAATGTTTAGTTATAGGGTGCCAAACCGTGCAATGTTAAATTATTATTTTTCAGAGGAAGTTGTTCCTATAGGACTATCATTTTTTGTATTTATGCTCTAACGGTCATTGGGATTAGGATTAGAATGGTAGGGTGGTCAATCAAGGGGTCTAAAGTTTAGATATAGGGTGCAACCTAGGTATATGTAAATCATGATAAATCAAGTAGAAACTTTGAAAAGTAATATTTTATTTTGTTACAGCTAACCATAAATGGATTTCCTTCCCAAGAAGGTGCAAAGCAGTATCGCTCTCTACTGGTAGGAAAACGTCGACAGGATTGCGACCACAGGGGTGAGTTATTTTTGGTTTTTATATATTTTTAATTTGTTTAATTAATTAATTAATTTAATTAATAATCTAGAGGTTTGTTA